ATTATTACTATTATTATTATTATTATTATCGGAGTCTATACTGACAGTTGCTGAAAATTCAGCTAGCAAAAAGAAACGATTCAAACTCTTTTTCCCCAAGGCTGCAGCACAGTTCGGAACTTCTCTTTGGAAAAGAGGTTTTAGTGGCCTCAATAAATGACATGTTTAGTGTGTTTGGCTTAAAAACTCTAACCACTTCCTAACGTAGTGTTGTGTTTGTCCCCTTCCTGTGTTTAACCTCTCTGCAGAGAATGAGAAACGCTAAGAAGGAGAAAAACAAGGTTTCTCCTCTGTGAGCAGCAGAACAAAGTGAGCTGGGGTCTTCTGGCATGGTCCTGTAGGGTTGGATTCTCTGGTGGCTAATAATAACGTGGAAATGCACAAAAAAGTCTTTTGTGTGGCTGAGGCAACTCGTGACCATTCCCGTCAGCGTAGATCCTCCAGTGTCTAAACCAGGCGGAGCTCTATTGCAGGCTCTCCCCAGCAGAGATACTAACACAACCCCCTCTTTTCTACCTAGTCAACTGCTTTCATGAAACCCACAAGATCTTAGTATCTTCAAGACTTTTTGTGAAATGTCCTTAAGAACCCAAACTAAGCAAACAATTGCTCTTGGTGAAAAGCCAAGTGAAAAGCCACGATGATTAATACCATCTTTTTTAGCTACTGGAAGCCAAGACAGCTGTGAATCCATTACCAAAACACAAAGGCCAGCAGGAGACTGAGGTAACTCGGTTATAGCTGGGAAAGTCAGAAACAGCAGTGTACACCAGTGGCCTCCATTATTAAGTGCACCTGGCACAGATCTTACACGGTATTTCGAAGAGGTGATAATTTTTACAGGAAAATCATTTATTAAAAAATTTGAAGCTGTTTCTACAAACATTTTGTAAAGTAAAACGTCATCCAGCTGTGGTTACTGCTATGTTGACCTTCCAACAATGATGGCCCCTCTTGCCATATTGGTTAAATAATTGGCAACCACGTTCTGCTGCTGTAGTAAACCCGAGAAAGTGGAAAGAAAGCAAAAAAACCCAAACCCTCAAGACTGTACAAAGGCAAAATAAATAGCAAACTTTGGCTACTCACCAAACTGGTTATTTCTGCAATGTCTCAATGACCGAACAGTATCTGCAATCATGTGCTGCGAAGACAAGATATAAAACATCAGTACAAAAATCTGAGATGGATTCCATCATTAGAAAAGCCTGAAAAAAATCTCCTTGCCCTACTCTGTACAGCAAAAAGCAACTGTAGTAAGGTAGAAAATGAAGACAGCAGAAGAAAGACTTCGCTCTTTGTCTTCATAATAATATATGATGAAACAGGGTTAGTCTAGAAGGACCTTATTGACATCACACAGATTAAATGAGAATAATTCCGTAAGAGCCCATGGAAAGTGCTAACGAGAAATAGCCAAACAATTGCTTATTTTTGTTCCTGTGACTTTTATTAAACGGAAAGCCTGCAGGAGGGAAGTCTTGTGGACTTGGTGGGTGCTTCTAGGTCCAACTCCTGGCTTTAGTGCATTATCCAGGGCATTCGGTAGTCTGCAACATCTCCTTCTGTCTCCATGTGTTGCCTAATTAGACTGTAAGCCCCTTTGCGGCACAGACTACACCTTAACGTATACTTGTATAACGCCTAGCGCAATCAGGCACCAGTATCACCTAGGCAGTTTTCTGCAGTATAACCAACACAAAAAACAACAGCCCACAGCCTAAATGCTGCAGAGCAAGCACCCTGACATCTCCACAGAGACGTACCAAGTAAGACTATACTGTAGCTATACCATTTTAAGAAAAGCTGGTGCTAACAGGGATACTGAATGCTCACTTAGATTAAGCAGAGGAAATAAAAGGTTTGAGTTTGGTTTCTCATTCAAGCTCAGGTCTTCAACTTATGACAACTGGAATTGTTCATCATAAATCAGTGGAGTACGCTCATTTTCAGTAGCTGTCGCCCATGAAGTTTTTGAGGCATTACTTCTTTCCTTTATTTGACTGCTTCTGTGGTATAAAGGTGAAAACATACTGAATTTGACAACCCTTCACCAAATCTAGTAACTAATTCAAGCAAATTGCAGTTAGCAGCAATGATACAATACCTCAAGCAAACAGCTGATGTTCTTGTCACATCTCCCTCTTAAATAATCAGAGGCGGAAAGGATTAACTGTCTTGAGCAAAGTATGTCTAAGCCCAGAATGACGGAGAACAGCTCATCTCTCAAAACCCAGAGAGTGGCTTACAAGGCTCCTCCACGAGGAGGAGCTTATCACAAGAAGAACAGCACTTTTAAGGGAAACTTCATATTCTTTTCATCAGTGAATCGAAATAATTTTTCTTGTTACCCGACGTGCTTCATTTGCCATGAAATCATGCTACCTCTTGTGCTGATGTCCTTGCACTGATTATAATGAAGCTCTAATGAGACATCCTAGATTTCATGGTCACTGGAGAGCTACAACTTCCACCAGTGCTGCTGCTGCTGTGATGTTTTCCAGCTGATACCCTTGGATTTGGCTTTTAGAAGAGAGATCCCATTATTGCACACACACTCATTCTTTGCTGTTTCTCCTTTGTAGTCAGTCAGTGGGGGGTCCATCCCAAGACTGGCTTCTGAAGGTGATGCCCTGGTGATGGAAGAACCTATCTGTGTAACACTCTCTTAAAGCAGAATCCCAAATCTCTCTTCTTTAGTAGCCTAACTAGGCATTTCTCTCTGACATTTGCAATTCTCTGGCATCCAACTGTAATACAGAAAACCAGCCAATTCATCTGCAAAGCAAATGCTATTTCCTGACTGTTTAAACAGGTGCTTGCATACTGTTAGTATGACAAGTAACATACATTTCTTGTGGCCTTTCAGCCTACAGGCTACCTAGGATCATTAGCACTCCTTTAACTGAGGACAGCAAAAACTCAGGCTTGGGAGTTGCACAGATATTTGGGGGGTGGGAGTTGAGAACCTTCAGCTGCATGTACTTCCTTACAGCTGAAGGCACTAGGTAAGAAGGCGTCATCTAAAATGGTAATGGCCATTGACCTGTATTAGAGTTTGCTGGAGTGTGGCTAAGACATGTCATTGCTAAGATATGGGTGATGGCTGACTGGAGGGAAAAAAAAAAACCTGAAGAAGCCACATTTCAGTGAAGCAGCTCAGTAAATACCATGGAAATACCTTGAGATGCAACAGTGTAAGACCGTATTTTCATTTATTCCTTCAGATTTAGTTGAGGAAGTGAGTATGGTACTAAATATTGATCAAACACTATTCTAGTCTAGAGTTTACCAAACATGGAGTTAAATAAACCACTGCAAACCCTTGAACTTTTGCTAAAATTGAGCAACATTCCTGAGACAAAAGATCATTTCATTTTCTTCTCTTCGCAAATTCTCTTCTTTATATTTTGAATTAACTTTGTCTTCACTGCAATCGCGTCATGTCAAATCAAGTTTAGTCACAGTAGGATTGTTGTGGCCATGATGGTCTAAGAATATAAAAGAAGCAGGGATTGTAGGGAGAGATTTTATTAAATCAACTGATATAGTTGGAAAAAACAATGCTTCAGACTGACGAGTCCTCCTTCTGGTCAGGTGTTCAATGCAGAAATGAAATATTTTAAAATACTGATCCAAATGGAGACACGAGAAGCTGACTTTGCTTTGAAATGCATAAGTAGAAATTCCATGCATTTATGACAGTAAGTTCCTTCCCCACAGCAGTAATCTGCTATGGTAGAGTAATTCTTTTCTTCTTTTTCTGCAACAGCAAATTTGCAGGTGAGGTTCAGTGGCTTGATCCAAACCAAGCAGGAGTCAATGTCAATCCTAATTTTTCTCAGCAGAGGCCAGAAAGTGCTCAGCACAGCATAAAACACCAAGGAAGACATTATTCCTTGGGATAAAGCCCTTATAATTAGAAAAGAAACATGAACTGATATATACGTGATGATGTGTGATGCATCCTCTTAGTAAGTTCATACCCATAGACTAAACACCTTAGCATCCAAATGAAGCTGTGTAATAGGTGTATTGCCTGAGTTCCACTACACTCATATTTAAATCTCTCCTAAGCCCCCCTCTTCCTAAGCTTGCACTATTGCAAGCATTCATATGTACACAGGGCTCCATGAGACAGCACGTTCCTGAGGGCGTGATGTGACTAATAATTTGGAGGAAATGTCAGTCTGAACAACCCTCATCCCACCACCACCACCTCAGACTCTCCCCTCCCATTTAAAATCATCCATTTGCATGGAAAAGGTGAAATCCTGGCTCACTGAAGTCAATTAGCAAAGCTCCCATTGCCTCTGGGGACACAACAGTGACAGCAAGGATAGGAAATCTTACCAAGCAAGCCCAGCATACATTAAACACATACATGATTAAACAACAAATGAACAAACTAACTTACAAGGTCTGGCTAAGACTGGAGCATGAATCAGATCCTACATATTCACTAAACAAATATACGGGCCAGTGAGGGGATTTTAGTAACAATTATTGTGCATCGAGGGCTAGTTTAATTTACATGTTAATTGGATGTACTTCCAAGAGGCAATGAAGAAGAACATGCTAATGAGTTTTATGCAAACACCTAAAGGTCAAACAGTTAATGGACTTGGGACAAGAAAACCTTTCATTAAATGCAAATCAGTGTTCTTGCAAACTCTGCAACAAGAAAAGGTACAGAAAATAAAGAACACAAAAAGAGGACGTCAGGTTCAAAAGTCAAAGTCTACATCTCCTTGCAAGTTGAAAGACAACGTACATTATGATAGGATGTGAAAATAAGTTCAATATCTGGTTCATGAATAACTCCATGTTTGCATGTTCATTCTCAAACAAGTGTAAATACATGGAGAAAATAGTTGGGAACAATTCACCAGGCACAGCCATCTGGACTAACAGTCCCATGGCACATCTGGAGCAACTGGGAAGAACATTTTGGTTTCTTGATCAAATACTCCAGGCCAACAAAAAACAAACAAACAAACAAAAAAAAAAAATCAAAGTTTTTCCACTCCACCACGTGGCTTTCAGTGCTATGAAAATGTTATCAACAAAAAAATGAAATAATGCAAGTTATTGCTCTATCAGCAATATCATGCCAGAGTAGGTGTCATATGATCCTAGAGTAGATGTGGCCAAAGATACAATGTCAGTAACTGCCCTCCTACATAAAAGTTAGTATAGTGGTATTTACAGTCAGTTTAATTCATATTTCAGGCATTATTTTCTTCATCATCTAATCTAGACGAAAACTTTTACTTTCATTTAAGATCCCTGGAATTAGCATACCAGTGGCAAGTGATAAACTACAGAAACCCCTCCTCTAGTGCCTTGAGAAAAAAAGGAAACATAATTAAGAGAAAGCTGAGAACTCATCTGAGGAGAAATAGTCCACGAGGTGGTGCAAAGGAACAGATCTCACTGAGGAAAACAAAAATGAGTGGACTGTGTGGCCGTGACGCTGGTCATCACCGGCTTAGCCATTTTACACAGAAGTAGGGGAGGAAGGAGTGAGAAGAGAGAGGAGCAGAGGACAGGGGCAGGGGAGATAAACTATTGGCTGTTTTATTGCTTGCTCTTTTTTACCCCTGTTTACTTCTTCCTGATTCAGCCAGAAGAAAACCTTTTAGTCTTACAAGATAAGGAGGGGAAAGGGAAGAAGAGAACATGAATCTTTCTGAAAAACAGGAAGGACAAAATTAGCTTACCAGCTTTTCAAAATTAACAAGATTATCCAGAAAAGTTTTATTTCCTTCATGGATGAATGTTACGTCTGAAAAAAATAAAGGAAGAAGAATTATTTTTCATGGCTTTGTTGTTTAATACAAAGAAATAAAATGACTAAACAGCAATAAAAAGAAAACAAAGAGGAAAGTATCCCATTAAGGATTGACACAGTACCTTATAACAGCGGAACAAAAGCCTGGTATGACGATGACATGCAGAGATTATTAGATAACAACACTATGTACACATCGTAACAAGAGGATTTTCAAGAGGGATTTCTTACTAAACCTGGTCTGTGTTACTTCTGGGGTGTGTATCCTACAGAGGGTGGCTGGGAGCCGGCGGGGGCATTCAGAGGGATGGCCCTGCATGGCATGCCTGCTCTCCGCACCCTGCGGCACCGATCCGGCCGCGCTGCCCACGGCTTTGCCCGAGCTGGGGCTGGCCGGTCCCTGAGCCCAGAGCTCCACGGGGGCAGTGCTACCAGATGCTGGAGTCAGCTCTGACACCACTTCATCTCTCTCTGTGGGACACGATGACTCTGAAGTCCTCCCCAGAGACATGGGCTACAGCAGTGGCCAGCTGGGGATGTTAAACACAAGCCACCAAACTGAAGTTCAAAGCCTTGAAATAAGCGTTCTGGCTAGGGAAAAAACACTTTTACACAGCGTTGTTGGAGAGAATTTGCAAAGGCAACAAAAAGGTCAGCGAGAGGAAAAGGAAAAGGTCTGTATTTGGCTCCAGGAAGGGAACTGAACACAGAGGAATGAACTGGAGGGGGGGGAAATATCAGGCGAAACAAACGTTGCCAAGTTAAGATTACAATTAAAACAGTAACTTGACGTCATTTTCTCCATTTTTCTAATGCGTATTAGGACACAAAGCAAGACCTATCTTGGTCATGAAGTACCAAGGACATGGACAGATTCCCTGTGGTGACTGAAGCTTTGCCTCGGACAGTGCACCCTCTGGGTCAATGATAATACTTGCAGAGCACCACCACCATGCCCTCAATCAGCTCTCTTCTGGATGTGCGGGGACCCAGGAGAACCACGAGGAGACGGCACTATTGTAATGAGACAGCGCTCTGATACCATTACTTCTTAAAGGTCACAGCTGTGTCTGCCAGCAGGCAAGTGGCACAGAGTAAATGGGCAACGTCTCCCTCTCAGCAGAGGTACCAACCTCCAACTCACTAGCCTAACTGCGCATCTCAGCATTTCTCTTGCGCTCATCTCTAGGACTCCCTCTGATGCCCGCTTGGTCCCCCTAGTTTCGGGGGATTTTAGGACTGGGAACCTGCAGCTGACACTGGGGGCTGCTTTGTCACAACCCACCCCTCTTCATCCTCCCCAAAACAGCCAACCTGATTTATTTCCTTTTGTTTCAAAGACTCGCTCTGTGCCTGAGGGGCGTTTTGTAATTGCTTAGAATGGAAATGTTAACGGCTTCATATGCTGGTGGAAACCCGGGGCTGGGACTCATGAGGCAGAGCTGTGCATGAGGGCTGATGGAGAGCTCCCGCGCCCCCAGGGCGGCTGGGCTGGGGTCTGCCTTGGGCAGGCAGGATGCCAGCCCCGCCACGCAGGATGCCGGCCCCCACTCCTAAGCAAGTGGGGCAAGCACGGCATACCCTGGGGATGCCTCCGGCACCTCTCTGCCCCTTGGCAGCATCCTAAAAATCACAGGGAAAGGAGGGAGTGGGACCCTCTATGCCTCCTCTGCTGGGCTGCTTTGGGGTACCCACGGAAGGGGACAGGGAAAGGACACGGCTTCAGGACACAGGCATTACTTGTCCCTGTATCAATGCAGTTAAAAACTGTCCATCACTTCAATGAAAAACTTACACTGGAAGCAGAAATTTCCACACAGCTTTTTAAGTCAATGACAGCAATGTGTGTATCTCTGAGGTGGAAGGAACAGAGATTTGCTCTGCAGCCAACAACTAAGAGTCTAGATAAATTCAGTGGAGCAGAAAATTGCATCTGAGCTATGTTGTAAGGGTATCTCACAGTATTTTATTACATATTTGAAAAATCTGCCTGATTTTCAAAAGCTGTGTCTGTGTGCTGTAAGAAGGCTCCACATTTAAATTTAATTAACTTTAAAAGAACACTGTGAAGTTTTTTTTTTTCATAATTAAAGAAAGGTTATTAATGATTTTCAGTTTTTTCTTGAAACTACTTTTATTCCTCTTGTGTTGAAATACAGTAATTTGTTGAGTTACATGCTATCAATGCTTATTTTACTGGTCTTGGAAATAACGTTAATACAAACATGCTTGACATGGAATAAAGTCCTATGTACTGTACAATACTTCGGGAATTACCAACCTTGGCAACATCTCCTTATGGATCACTGTACTGAAGAAGATTACTGTATTATTTTGCAAAGTCTCCTTGCTATCTCCAATACATTTTAGAGACACGAATGCTGCTTACGTGCATGTTCTTATACACCATATTGTAGTGGTGCACAAACATCATTGCTACAAGTTACTTTTTTATGTTTTCTGCCTTTGTTTGCAGGCAAGACATACTCAAGAACCCTTCAAGAATACTGATTTTGAAGCCTTGATAATTGTATCCGTCTGAATTAATGCAAACTCCTTTGATGGGTGCAAAGAGGGGAAGTGCCCGATGGCTCCCAAACTGTCACCGACCCATCTGCAGAACTGTCTTCAAACATTTTAAACTCACAGCAGCAGGTTGGAATAAACATCCTAAAGAGAACACTTTCGGAATACAGGAATAATCAAATGAATTTGCCGTGTTCAAAGACAAGGCAATTAATAATTAATGACTCCAAGACAACGGAATATTTGAAATACCTGCCACTTAATTAGCTGCCCCGCTCACTGCATTAAGCAAGTAGTTTTATTTTATTTTTTAAGTTTTTTTAATATTTTTTTTTAAATAAGATTTTTTTAATCTCTTTCTGATCTGTAAGAGACTTGACAATCCCCTCCTCTCAGGACAGACAGATGGGGCAGGTTCTGCCTTCAGGATGATGCCAGGTAGTTTCAGCCCGGCGAGGCAGGGCGAGCACCCCAGACGGGCAGCGTGGCCGAGGCCGCTTGTGCGGGTGCACCCAGCGCAGCCAGGCAGCCCCGTTCAGGGGCTTGCAAGGTCTCCCTCCTCCACCGAGGAGGATGCGGCCAAAGCGATGGCACGCTGCTCTACCTGCGCTTGACGGGAAGGTGCTGAAGTTTGAAAACCTGTGTGAAAATTGCCATCTTCCCCCTGTCTTAAAAAGCAGCTGTTTATTATCCAGACCAAGTACTATCTTGCAGATACCACTACATCTGCCACATACTTATCGTAAGGCCACCTGAAGAAAAAAATCACCCTCCATCTACTTTAATTAACCACAAAGAAGAAGAGCAGCCAAGCTTAAACATTACCTTTCAGAAGTAAGGGCATGAAGGGGATTTTCGGAGATTTCATTTTCTTGAATGCATCTCTGTAAGCTTTGTGATTCAGAGAAGGGTCCTACAAAACCATTTGGGTAATAGAGAGAAAAATCAATAGGCTATAAAAAGAGCAATTCTAAATCCATTACGGGCTTATGATCTGAACATGATTTAGATATAAAAGGTTTCTTCAGCAAACAAGGTAGATAAAGGTTTTCTAAGCTAGGTGACTTACTAAACTGAACAGGAAACGTAAACAGTGAAAGGAACAAAAGCAATTATGTTCCTCTAGATGAAGCAGTGCTAAAATGGGAGTAAGCTGCAGAATAGATTCACTGGAACTGCTCTGTAATTTCCCCACAAATTTCTATTAGCAAAATCTCTTCAGCTTACTATCTAGCACAAAATGTATCCCAGAATGTATTGCTGATTTATTTATTCTTAAAAAAAAAAAAATCCACACCAAACAACAACAAAAAAGTCCCAACAAAAATTTCTCTCAGATCAATGGAGCATATTGGACATTTTCAAAGAAAGTAAGAGAGTATGTTTCAGTGGTGTTATGTAAGTAATTCAAAAAGTCATCTCAATTTCCCATATAAACGAACGTTTTTGTACACCAGCTCACACACAATCTTGAAAACACATTAATTTATAAAGGACTCTAAGTACAGAAGCATGACAGCCATTAAAGGCTTGATCTCACGTTCCCCGCGCCAGGCAGTGATCTCACGACGCACCCGCTTCTATGACAGCCAGAGGAAACACTTGTTTATTCAGCTTTGATAATGGTGACAAAGACCCTTAGCTTCGGATTTTGATTTTTTTTTTTTTTAAACTTCAGCTGTCCTCTTTTTCTCCTGATCCGCAGCATGTTGCTTTGGATAAAGGCTGATTAACTACCATAGCAAAAGAACAGCTTCCAAATTGATGCTGGGGAACCAACACTACATTCGCTACTCTCTGTCCTTCCTCCAGCTGTCAGCAATACAGCCTTCTCCCTTTTTATGTTTGGAGACCACCTCTGAGCTCTGGAGGGCTGCATGGCCTTCGGCAAATCCCGGATCTGACATGACAAGTTCCAGCTCGAGACAATGACAGGCAGCCTCCAAATAAATTAGGAAGAAGGAAGGCAGGTAAAGACAAGCAATGCCATTCTGCTGTCAACACCGTACTTACCGTCAAACTTTCAAGTTCAGTGAAAAGTTTCTTGAACTTGCCAGGAATTTTCTGAAGTGGGGAAAACAGAGAAAAAAAAGTAAAGTTGATTTAAAAAAAAAACAAAACAAAACATAGGCAGAAAAATGCTGAGGCTTTTTTTTTTTTTTTTCCATGAGACTGTCGTGTGTGAAGCACCTGCTGTAAGTACCAACAGGCAGTTAACCTCCGCTCCTCAGCTCCGAGAGCCCTAATTACAGACCATGTTCAGTGCGATGCCAGTGAGGCACCAGACCCTGCAGCCTCGCCTCGGGGACCTGCATCAGTCTTTTATGGAAACTGCTTGTTAGCACCTGTTTTTACTTCCTTCCCTAGCTTCCACATCTGCTGCCTTTACCTTAATATCCCTATCGGGTTAGAAATTGTAACACAGACTGAGAATTCAGATAGCGTAATCACATCCAGGTTAAATAATTTGTTTCTAAAATATGAGTTCTAGAAATTAACAGGCGTAATGCTCAGTCCTGTTTGATACAGGATACCGCCCCCAGGGCTGACCAGTGTAACTACTGGCACATGCTGGTGCCAGAGAAAGAGAACCTTCCTTAAAAAACGGTTACTCCGTCGCTGGTATCTCACCCTAATCCCACAGGGAGGTGCACAGAACACCACCCAAGGGAGCCCAGGCATAAACTACCTTCTTGCCCACATGCTAACACCTGCTCTGCCCCACAAGCATCTGGCTCCTTTATCTCCAGGATGCTTTACTGGATTCACCTCATTATACTCAAAGCAATCGTTCTTCAGTTTCAGTTTTGCTGCTGGTATTTCAGACTTGAAGAAGGATGTGCGCACCTTAAAGCCCGTCTATTTTTTCCAACCATACTAGTTAGTCTAGTAAAAGGTATCCCCTTAGTACAAATCCTGTCTCGCCTTTGTCTTTAGACCCTGACAGCCACAATGATACTACCAAGAGAAAAGAGATTTAGAACAATTAAGATTAAGTGGATGTGCTGTATGATTAAAACGCTAAAATAACTGAACGTGGAATTGCAATTGCACATTTTTAGTATCTTCAATGAGGGAAAGTTAGGCTCATTAAAACACTGCATATTGTAGAAAAAAGTAGCGTATGCTTGGGAGCGTATTACTTGTTTAAGAATTCAAGTGCAGAGCCAATATAATTTAGCGTCTAAATGGTTGCTTAAATTTAGGTGGCTTCATTTACATGTGTAAGTAATTATAATTAATTTATAAACATTACTCTACTTTCTAGAAGTCACATTACTAATGCAAATAACCTTCTGCTTTTGAAATTTCCAGTGCAGTGAAGTTTTACAAATACATTTAAAAAACATAAATGCATGTGACTTCATAAATATTTTACACACAGAAATGGGACATATTTACAATGATACATATGCAGATGCACTCCTTGTTCAGACAAGCAATATATTCTGCTCTTCCTGAAAGAAGTCCACCAGCAGCACATGATCTCCAGAGAGGTGTCACCACACAGCTGAGTTCTGCGTGTTTCTGTGCAGGAGGGATTTACACCAATGCCACCGGGTGCCTTTGATAAAATACTTAGCCCCTTCCACGCTCCTACCAAAGCCCAGAGAAATGAGATGAAGGCAAGCCACAAGAACAGGTGAGGGCAAATGTTCCCTAGTGGGCAAGGCATTTTAAAAGTAGGAGAGACAAAGGGTTTCTGTATCGTCGTCCTCAGGTGTGTATTTTTTTCTAAAATTTTTGCTTTGCCTGTTATTTAAAGTTGGGTCCTCTTTGCCTGTCTGAGTCCCTGTAAACCCCTGCCCGCAGAAGCAGTCACTGCCCTTGTTTCTCTTCATGCCAAAGCCACTGACAGAGGCAGCGATGTTTCCCTATGCATGATTTCAGCTCAGGGGGAAGACTTCGCTCTGGACAGTGTCAGATAGGTTTGTAAGTCTCTGATGGCCATTTGGTTTCAGCTCTTCATGCTCAAGAGTATCTCCAAGGCAGGAGATCACAACCCTTCCCTGTCACTTTGTATTACAGATTGATATTTTTTTGAGTACTGCCCACTTGTGTTGGGGGCATGGGGGAGGGATGAAGCTTCACCCCCTCACACTAAATTACTCCTTCCCCAATTTTTGGTTCATCAGTAGATATAGTAAGCTTGCAGATACTATCACTCAGTAATTTACTTGGATGCAAAAAAAAAAAAAAAATCCACAATATAAACACAGATCTCAGTGGGACCCTCCTCTAAACATCCCATGCTCTGTCTAGCAACCAGTAGCTTCTTTAGCAGATAATTTCTGTCCTCCAGTATGCTCCTTATTCATGGCCCATTTCCTAACTTCGTTGTTGAAGATGAGCAGCTGCAAAAGAGCTGATAAAGGAGAATTAAAGAGGGTTTATTTCTACTTTGTATTTTTTTTTAATGAGATTATTCCATAATAAGGTATTGCTTGTTTGGAGCCACCTTTATAAGACTTTCTGTTCTGACATCTACTTAAAATGCTAGGATAACTTACTTGACTTTTTTTTTTTTTTTTTTTTTTTTTAAGACGGTAAGATCTCCTTGCTTTGTTCTTATTTAAAAGCTCTGGAAGGACACATTTAGTTTTATTTGAATAGCTGTATATGTAAGGTTTCAGGTCACAGAGAAGTTTCTCTACCGACACTCGCTCCCTGTTTGATTTCAGCATGAAAAACCAATAATTAGAATGAAAAGGTAATTCATCAGCATACAACCTTTGTGAGAAATGGTTTTGACAGGGTCTAAAAGATACAAAGCTGTGTCTTACCTCCCAGGTCTGAGACAGCCGGCTGACAGATGCAGTGTTGAGACCCATAACAATAGCAAAGAATGAATTCAGATTTCTTTGGGCTTTGCAGCTGTGGAATAAAAATATGAATGCTGTATTCTAATTTTTTGTACTCAGAATCAGAGATAAATGGAATGCACAGGTATCCTAGGTTACTGAGTCCCATTTCAACTCTCAGCACTAACATACAATCATCTTCCACATAATGAACTCATTAAATGTCCTCTCATGACCACCTGCAGTCTAGGTGATGGGGTCTCTAAGAAGTTTTTTAGCAAACGTTCCACTGTCTCATCAACCCTGTTGTTGGCAGGCTATTTTTTTTTCCTTGGCTGTCAAAAGTAATTTTCCCTTTTCAATGTTCAAGTTACTCTCAGCTGTCCTTTACCATACAGAAAAATTCCTTGACCTCTATTCTGTTGTATTATAAATATTTTCATCCCCTTTTTCATCTTTTCTGTAAATTGTACATCATCAGTTCCTTCAATTTCTCTTTGTGGTCATGGCCTGCAATCTGCTTTTCCATATTGTTATTATCCTTCATTGAATTCTTTGTAATTTACTTTAACTTTTCTCTCATGCATTTCCTTCTTATCAAAGAGATGTAGTGAGACAGTGGGGAGGGAAGGAGAAACATAATTACTGTTTTGGCTCTAAGTTCTTACACCTTTCTCCTGTGCAAGTATAAAACAAATATCAAATTATTTATTTGGAACAGCATCACGCGTTGTCCTTGCCTTTAATTTGTCATCTATTATCACCTAAGGACCTTTGTCACAGTACTGTTCTTTACAATCATGCATTTATTTCTTCAGCTCAGTATTGGCATTCCCTAGCTGAATTACTTTGCATCTATCTAAATTAAATCTTATCCTACTGTTGTTTGCACATGCCACCAGACTCCTTAGATCATTCTTTTTTTTACCTATCCTCCAATGCATTTGCAATCCCTCATCATTTTTATTGTCTGAAAATCTGATTAATGTTCAATTTACATATCCCTATAAATTAGTTGCAGTTAGCACTGGTTCCAATACAGGTCCCTACGGAATTTGCTTGATACCTCTATTCTTTGACATTTTACAATACATGATCAGACCCTGCTTATTTCTAGTCCATCAGGAAATTTGAAACCCTGAAATATCGAGTCCTTTTCAAACAAAAAGATTCCACTTTCTCTTGGTGAGTCTTGAAGACCACTATAAACATACGTAAGAGTGAGAGAGAGAATGCTCTTTTAAGATAATTTTACGTACAAGTGAATCCACTGCCTTCCCTGGGATTTATCATCAGGGAAAACTATGTGCCAAGGCCTTAGACTGGAAACACGCCAGCACTTGTCACAGGTTTTATAAAGCTTGCACTCATCGCTGTGTACTATCTTGAGACAGTGTATTTCTCACTTCACTTCAGCTGTCTTAAAGTTAATCCTAACTTTGCTGCTTAGACTTTTTTTATCATTAAGGTCAGGCAGCTCCCAAAGGTAATTCATTCCAAAACAAGAAATGTGTCCAGCACAGCTTGGATAAACTGTCTATTGGATGGGCCCATTTCTCAAAGAACTGTAGAGACACAGTACATCTTTTACAATCAGCCACCGCTTGGGAAGCAAGAAGGCTGCTGTTGTAATCCGTTTATTCTAACCCTACATCGATCGGTTTCTGTAAGTCCTCAGGATGTTCGTTTCTAACAACATGGTAATTCATTTTCTCTATCAAATCACTTGTCTTCTATTTCAGACTAACTCATGAACAGAAGCATAGGTATCCATGTTTCAAAAACTGTCTCTCTTTTATGTTTCGGCACACTGTGTAAAAGCCTTCCATCTTCTTCAGGTGTTCCTCACCAGTGAAGCACACAAACGTTGAACGTGAGATCTTAGTCCTGGTGCTTTCCTGACAAGCTGAAAGTCAGAGACACAGATTCCTGGCCGAATCTGGGAGCAGAGAACAGGGAGCAGCCAGAGCTGCTCACAGCTCCCTACCTCTCTGCCTTAGTCATAAACAAAATAGCAGGGCTGCTTGGCTTGTGTATCATGATGAGAGTCCTGTGGTTAGCACACCATCCCTTCACCCTAATTGTTCCTCTTTCATCAACTCTTCCAGAATTGATGAGATACGATAATAGCTTCTTTTAGAAAGCTGCTTTTCTGATTAAAAAAAGGTCCTGAGCAAACTACACACTCACTCATTTGCGTACCCATTATTTCACAATCTACACGCCACGGGTGTTTCTGCAAAGCACTGGGAGAGCCTGTGTATTGTTTACTGACAACTGCATTTAGTCTCACAACTTTGGCTTTTCACTTAACAGAGACGGAACTAATTCAAATAGAGCAACATTTTAGTCTGGTGACAAATATATCCCTATTCATGTGGGACAGACATGAAACTTTTCTTGGAATGCAAATTAACGCTACTGTGGGACAAGCAAGGCACACAGAACCAACCGTTTCTGACAAAATTGGACCAAACTTGGCCATTGATAAGGCAGAAAATGAACGTATTACTGGATACCATACAACTTGCAAACTAAATCAAATCACATTTATGAGTTACACTAGATTAGATTAGAAGAACTCATTTCACCAAAGCCACTGCTTCAGCAGAGAACAGTCCTTTCTATGTAAGTGCCTTGCAAATTAAATCAACCCAGTCGATGAAGGGAACAAATTATACATTTTCCATGAACATGCATATTCAAATATTGCAGAAGACCAACAAGTAAAGAGAGAGGCAAGGAGAATGGTTGCACATATTTAAATTGCTCAATTCCCTTGGTTACTAAAATAAGAGTGATTACAGGGAAAAGAACTCTCTGTGTATAGTATATATTTGTACTCTTTCCAACGCATAGAATAAATGCCAGCACTATTTAGTAATAGTGCAAGAACAGACCATCAAATCTAATTAATGAAGAACCCCCCATCCAATAAATAAAAGAGTACTCTAGAGAGGACAAGACGGGGCAATAGCTTACTGCAGCCATTTTCCCCTCTAGAGGTAGGACTTCCAAGTTTATAACAGAGTTTTTTGGTTTCCATGTACTCTGGTGAATAACTGTGTTGCTGCTCAAGTAGTTTTGTAATACGGTCCTCAGGTTATCTCTGCTAAGAAAGGAGATATCTCTGCACCATCAGGGATTTTGCAGTTGACGCTGCAGATACAGCGGCTAAGCTGCTGGGGAAGATTTGAGCAGCATATACTCCACCACATCCAGCTTTGGCCAGTGTTTGCTGTTGTTACTTATGGACTGTTTTATCTAGGTATGCTTACTACACTGTTAAAACATGGGATGACAAATTAGTTTTCTTTCTTTGCTCTTGCACCTACTTCTCCTTTACCACCAAATAAAGCATGTGAATTCAAGAATTTTTTTTTTTGTAACTTAAGTAACTTACTGGGCAGCAATCTTGATGAACTTTTTGACTAGCTGCACACGTTTGCAGAGCTGGCTGCAGAGGAGTATCTCGGTGGCAACCCATAGCTGGACCTCGTTGCACCTTTGAAGCAGAAGGCTGAGATTCTCAGTGTTTTCAGCACTGCCCTGTCTGCTGAATGTGAAGTATATCAGCTCTTGCTGGAAGACATTCACAACATTATCAGGGATATAAAAACAATTTAAATGTAAATGAATTATAAATTATTTAGAAGTATGTTTTTGAAACAAGACTTGGTTACAGATGGTTATTTTTTCATTATCCATGAGCCAATCACAAATGATTCAGGGTCCAAGTTTGGCTTAGCAAAGTCTAGAGGCTTATTACAGGAGGCAGGTGGCTTGGAAGTCCTGCAAGATGTGCTTTTCTGGTGAGATTTCCTGCAGTACCACTTCTGGCTACAGCCAGGTATAGGACATAAACGATCTGTCTCTTTCTGTATTTCATCACTTCTGTTCCAGTATGAAAAAGCAACCATATCAGACCACTGCAGAATCTGAAAAATTTCCATTCAAACTTCTTCCTAAAAATAGCCATGTTTTCAGGAACAGGGATGTGGGTATTGATTTCTGTGCAAAAAAAAACCCCAAAAACTTGACCAGCTCTAGATTTAAAGTGTCTAACCTGAATAAAAGAACCTGAAGTGAAAGATCAAGGAAAGCATCTGATGAGAAGCAAGGGAATTTCCCATTCATTTTCTCAGAAAGTCACCATGCTTTTCAGTGAATGGTATTTTCAAGTGACATTCTGTACTGTTAACTGTGTATTTTACTCAGTAGCTCACACCAGAACCTATCAAAGTCATTGAAACAACCCAATGGACACTGAAGTGGGTCATTATCCCATTTTATAAAGCCTGCTCAGTATTTTTTATCTCACTGAAGCCTAACAACAACAGTAATGTGACCATCTAAATTGCTGAAATTGTGAATTCTGTTGTGGTTAACGTGATATCAAGGACATCTATTTGTGGAGTCCTATATTTACTGGAACATTATCGAGTGCAAAGGACAATCTGCATATATAACATATTCACACAGACAGTTTTTAGAGAATAATCATGCTTTTTTACTCTATTGAGGCAAATCTCAACAAAACCCACCAGGTATACATATGAGATGCCCTAGCAAAGGGAAGTTACCTTTAACAATTTTTTTCAGTATCAAGGATTGCAACACATCTCTTGGACCTGATTCAATACCACCACTACTGAGAGCCGCCAAATCATACTGTCATGATGGTGAACTGAGCACCAAGGAATATTGATGCTCCAAAATGCTGGTGCAACGTCAGGAAATCATAACGGCTCAATGCTGCATGAGAGTAATATACCTGGAAGTGGACATGGTGCTTCTTACCTCATGAATTGCATTGAAGAGGCTCCAGTCAAAGTTTGTTAGTTCTAAGGCAAGATCCCAGGTGTTGATTCCCAAAATTCTCACAGACCTTTGCTGCAATTCCTCATTTTCAGTAAATGGGTTCTAAATCAATAGCCAAGAGCAAAAAAATCCTGAGCAAACGCCAAATGTTCTGCAATGAAACAGCTACTGGACCAAGGTACAAAACAGAGCTGAGTAACTAATCTTCTCTAAGTGCACTCTGAGGGTTTTCCGCCCCCACTAATCAAAATCAAGGCATTATAGCCTATTTAATAAATAGCTTGAAAAAGGAAATGGGTTAATAGGATCAATGACTTCCTATTGGATTAGGCCTCTCCCTCTGTCTCTCTTTCTCTAAACCTTGAGTATAAAACACTGACCAAGCAGACAGCATAATGAAAATAAAATCCCTGAAGCCATTAGAAAATAAAATCTGAATTAAGACACCAGGAAATTTTTGTATTGTAAGATAAAGGAATCATTCTGCAAACACACGGGATTTAGAATAAATACACACAACTTGCCCACCAATCCACCTTTACAAATAACATAAATCCATCCATTTTATGATTAATTTACTCCGAATGTAATCACCAACAAACAGTAAAACACCGTGGGTCCTGATTCATAAAAGTAACTTAGCATATTACTGTGGACTGCACTGGTACTGCTGGTATTAAGGGTCATTTGACATTTCCATTATCAGCTCAGATTTTCAAAGGTTTGCATTTCTCTTGGTTTTTTTTATCTCATCAGGCTAAAACTTGGCACATGAACCATCTGCCAAGATGAAAGATTATTCTTATCTGTTAAGCCATTACTTTGGTGCTATATTTCTGACAGGTACAGCAACTTTTGTGATTTTTATTATGTAACTAATGAAACTAGACTGGCTGTCACCTGTCTGCACCGGAAACCTTCCCTTAATATTCGCATTTTTAGAGGTGTCTAGAACGCCGGAGATAATGGGGATGACAGATTACAATGATAGCGACATGTCAGCTCTTCGGGGCACATTGATCCAACAAAATGTAAATAGACATTTCTCATCCCTAGGATGAATGCACAGATCCTAGCGGTACTGACAACACATAAAAGTCAGTTGCCACACCGTCCCTGCGCTTTCCTCAAAACATCTGCATAATTAGCAGAAAGCTACTGAAAGATTAATTTTTTGAGTACCTGACTGTTCCTGCCTCACTGAGGTTTTGGGAAATGACGGGGGGAGAGAGAGTTTGCAATCCCGGCTTCTGAGGACAGAGGGAATGAGAGACCTGCTGCCCTTCCACCCGCTCCCCTCCCCAGCACCAGCGAGAGGATGGAGAGACAGGCGGAAGGAAGGGAAGAGGAGATACCACCACCGATATACGCCAGCCACACACTGACCATGTGGCTGCCACAACACTGGGGTCACACCGATGCCCAGTAATTTTTGGTAGAACTTGCACGACATCTATTTCTACACATAGGAATTTTATGGAGTTTGTCCATCACCTTGTATGATTATGTACCAGCCACTTTAAGTGTTACAGAGGCCCAAGACGGGGTGGGGGGGGAAGTCACACGGGCCCTGAATAATCCTCATCCCATCCAGTCCTGTACAAGCACAAGTCAGCTTTTCCAGGCTGATGTAGACAGAAAGATTTAAGCTGTACAGAAGCTTTGGTCTATTTGAAATTGATGAACAAACTCCATTACTGTTCGGTCAAATAACTGCTGTTAATGCAAGATACTTTTTTTTCAGGTATAGAGCAGCTCAGTAAGCTTTGCTAAGGAAGCAAAAAATAAATTCTGTATTGAAAAAGCCCTCTGAGAGGAATAGTAAGTTCTTGATCTGGAGTCAGACAAATAAAAAATGGGAAGTATACAATACACATCCTTACCAAAGAATCAGTCATATCTTTTCGATAGACAAACATACGACTGGATGACTCAAAAGATTTTGAGATAGCCAAGTCATTTGGTTGTAGTTCATGTTTTTCTGTAAAAACAGAAAACAAAACACAGAAGCTTCAGAAAAGGAGTAAAAGCTGTATATAAATATGAGAAAAACATTTGTAAAGCCACATCAATTTAGAATTTAGCTAAGCATCAAACCCAGTCCCCTATGTATATGTCAAGCATGGGATCATCATCTCCACACTATTCAGGCACAATAAAGGCGAGATGTCTCTGATGCTGGACTAGAGCACAAAAACTTCCAGCATCTGCTTTCAACTTGGACTTCACATAGGATAGAACAGAAAGAAACCTTTGAATCATCTAGTCTAACCTCCTAGGCATTACAGAACACTTCATTTCAATCCAGTGTATCTACTGTAAATGTAGTGACTTTTGTTAGAGCTAAGTGTCTGGGCCTCCAAAGACTGAGCTGTTGCATGTCACTGGTAGACAAGAGCAGCGGTGGAGATGTCATTGGTAGCCATGGCCATTCAACAGGAAAAGAAGTTTAAAGGATCCAACGCCATGAAATTCACCCCATGGAGCAGAGCTGAAGAGTCCTTGATAATACGGCATGTACAGAAATTCCTCTAGACCTAGAGTATTTCATTTAGGAAACATTTGAGTAACAGAGCAGGACACACCAAACTGGTAGCAAAGAGAAAGGAACCTTTTTTTTCTCCACTTCAGAGAACTGGTTCAGCTCTGGGCATTCTTGGATGCACCAGAGAAAGGTATGGGGAAAAATAAAGCAAAACCCAGAACAAAGCTAAAAAACTGCCCTGGGAAAACTGTCTCTTCCTGCAGGCTCCAAATAATCTTCTGAAGACCTGACACATGAGATTTGATTACAGTGACTGTATTAACGTAGACCCAAAAGCACTACAAGCATGTTGAGAGCTACCTTGGACTTTTCATTGCCCATGAGGGAGGAGTAGGACCAGGAGGAGTCCAAGAGCCAATCATCATTTCAAACTGTCTGTTTTCCCTCTTATCCATGCTCATACTGACACCAGATACGTTTATGTTGAACTTGTTTTTTGAATAAAAAGAGCTTGCTTGTTCATTTCAGGAGTACAATAAAAACGCGTTCTCCAATGCTCATACTGCTGCCCTCCCAGTGGATGGCAGATGACAGTTCTGAGTCATGCAAATAGCAAAAATAAAAAGAAAAAAGAAAGCATGGCAGGCTGGTGTTTATTGCTCGCAGCAGAGGAGTGCCAATGCATAGGAACAAGGATACTGGAATTGTAGTATCTCCAATTAATTCAGGCAATGTGACTAAATAACATTTTGGGGCTTACAGTGGCCATGTACAAATGACAGTCCTATTATATCTGCATTTTAATTATTGTTTCTTGCTGAACAGCCAAGTGGCAACCACTTCTATTCTGTGGCTTTCTCAGGAACCAATGTGGTCTAGAGATAATAGTGTTTCATTATTTATGAATTGTTGGTTTTCTTTAGCTAAGTAGGCAGTTAGCACCAGATTTATCGCTATCAGAGCAAAACTTGCCCTGCTCTTAAACAGGAGCACAAGACCTGAAAAACAACAGCAGCACAGTGATTTTGCAGTGCTGCAAAATGCACTGGAGGCATGTTTCGGCACACACAAGGGTAAAAGGAGTGTGCCTGCAAATGCCGTAACCCAGCTGGCCAGGACGCCTACGTGCAATGCTCCCGTGTGGCCGCTCCGTGCCCAGGCTCTGGACAGCCCGGGCAGGACACCCACCCCAGTGCCCTGCAAAAAAATGGCTGCTTAACTGAGCTTGGTGTGGGGGAGAAAAAGGTGACCTTCCACTTCTCTATCAAATAAATAAACAGAACAAGCCAGCATTTGTCTATGTTTCATTTAACTAGACTGACAATATGAGTGCTCAATCTTTAAGGGTGCATCCTTTGTCCCAGGTTATGGGACTATACTGACACCAACTAATGTTACCTGAGAAAATGGTCAAGATATTCTGAACTTTTCGTTTTTTGTAGATCCAGCTTGGCATTTCTATGCACCTAGTTAAATTGCTTCCTTTATACTCCCTAAGAGCCAAAAGGCACCACACTGAGCAAAACAATCTGACTGAAGACCTTGAGACCTGACAGACACCAAAGCAAATTTGGGGGTTTGGCTGGTCCCTAGTATCAGCCCATGATCAGTCTGGTCTTCCTTAAAAAAGACAATAAGCCTTTCTGTTCAATGAGAAACACTAAAATAATAAGCAAAAAATGTCAGTTGTAAGCAAGACTGCTTACAAAATATTGCTTAGATTGCTCTCAGTATCCCAACTGTGCAAATACATGTCTCCCTCCTTTCTGCTGAAGAATATTCATTACCCATGCAGCAAATAAGGAAACAGCCACGCATACAGTATTTGTTATCCCCTTTTATATTTTTAAAGCAAACCATGCCTCATCGCCTTCCAAATTAATTTAAATGCGAAAGTAGGAGATTTATCTGTGGGGAAAAAATAAGATCTTGCAGTACTGCTGGAGACAGAGTCCTTTGCGCTCCCTTCCCAGCCAGGAGATGCCGTATCCGACAGTACCCAAGAATGAGCTGTTGCCATGGAAACGACTCTCTGGGAAGCAGCTTCTCATTGTTCCCATGGTCATCCAGCTGTGGGCCCGCACAGGAACAGCTGTATCCTTGCACCAGAAAAGGTCAGCTCTCCCTTACGTGATGCACTAAAAGGTAAGTAATCAGATGAAGGGAAGTTATTTACCACCAGAGAACGTGACTGTCACCAGCGCCAACTCCTCCTCCGGATACTGGATCTTTTCTGCTACAATCTTCAGTATCTCCTGAGCTGAAGTGGATACTTGAGCTTTCACACTGACGTAGGAGTGCTCTGTTATATACACACGGCAGAAAACTGCACAAAGGAAGAAAGACACACTCAGCAGCAGGCAGAGACACCTGAACAAAGCAGGGGAGAATCTTGCAGACCCGACCACGGCAATGCCTTGCCTGCCTGGCTGCTGCGGCTGCAGGAAGGGTGGCTGCTGCACCCTGACCTGTAGGGACATGAAACTAAGGATAAACGTCACCATTTTCCCCCTTCCCACTTCCTCTCCCTGGGAAATGAGAGGGCCAAGCAAATGGAAACAGACACCCCCATGGCTGCATTTCAGCAATATCTATTTAAGACTTCCTACCATGAGGATTTGTCACGGACAACCTCCTCTACTGCCTATCTTCTTTGCAAAGTCAGCTGTTGCCGTGTTTTCTCCCTTCCTTTAGGTTCAGATAAATCACCATCCTTTCAGTATATTTCATATCCGCTGCAAAAATTATTTTGGACCTCCACTTCCACCCAGAACAGGAGGCGTCGCAAGAACTGCACTCCCTGGTCTTCAGCCACTCCCGCCAGCTTATCTGTCTAGACATCTAAACTACCTGCATTGCCAGGGCATCTTAGCACCAGCAGAGGCTGCCGGAACAGCAATGCAATTAGTTTTGACAACTCTTTCTCTGAATCACTTGCAGCACACATAAAAGGGACTGGTTTGGAGAAATTCCACGGGCTCATCACTTCCACTGAGGTCTATGAGTTGGTTGGGCTCTGAGAGGGAGATTCCCAGCAGTAATGCTGTGGTCAGCTCAGGTAGTACTTTGCTTCTGCTACAGAAAGGGATGTATGCTCTCTCTGCTTGCCAGAATTTTAGGTTTACATCTTTTGCCAAGTTTGCTGTAGCCAGTTCTTTGAAATACAGCTGCCATACTTAAAAGGGAAGAAACAGAGCTGCAGAATTGCATAAATATTTCAAAAATTACAGTATCTGCTAATAAGAACTGCCACAACTCTTGGTTTCTTACTCACTTCAGTGCTTTATTAAACTTTCCATTTCTTTCTATTCCAGTACTTCTCATTGCAGACAGGCTGCTACCATGTCAGTATAAGACTAAACTTTTCTTCTCCAGAAATGCTGTATTTATAAAATTATTTTTATTGACAGATGTATGTAGCAATAGCTCTTTGCTTGTCCTACAAATCTTCACGGCTTCAGGGCACTGTCATTAACCGAGACCATGCCAAAAGTGGTTAAGAACTCTATCCTCGTGAATATCTTTTTTTTGTGTTTTAGTAAAGGAAAAATGAACATGAGAAGGAAGGAGGAACTTAACATTTAACCTTGGGGAAGAAAAGTAATTTGATTTTATAGTTTTTTTCTTAACCTGTCCCTGCTGACAGACAGTAAATCAGATGCTCATCCTATGGCAGAATCTTTCTTCAGAATGCATATAACTCATTAAAAGATAGAGACATCAATCTGCACTTTAAATTACTAGGTAGAAAAATACATCTTAAAAAATCTGACAGGAATATTTGGACTCCATATGCAGAGTGCAACACAACTTGCCTACAGTGAATTTGTTTGAAATTTCCTCCTCTCTGCCATTCGGGAGGGGAAGATGACAGCAATATGTTAATTTATAACTGGGCTATTGACATACCCTTTGTTTAACACTGAACTAAACCAACCTACAGGTCAGGTCCTCAAGCACAACCATCACACTGATTCTCCCAAAGCTTGTTCTCCCACGCACCTTTCAACTACCCTATCTGGCATGGACTATGTCATCTCTTCCAGGATCCTGTGCTGCTCCTCTGTGAGATGCAGGAGGGAATGCCAGTGGGAGGAAGCAGCCATAGGCTGCAAGTCACCCTGATAATGCTTACATTAGCAGAGAAAATGCCTCCAGTCAAGTGGCATGATGTGGCTTGGACAAACCCATCCAAACCAAAGCACCATTGGTCAGCAGCACTCCACCACACCAACTCAGATGTCCACCCCCAGCATCTGTCTCTCCTCTCCCCAACTCCACTTTTGCTATTTCATTCCCTCAATTCCATCACCTTCTGTAGCTCATGCTCTCAAGAAGAGAGATGAAAGCAGTTTAACCCAGTCAGGGATGGCCTTGGTGGGTCTTGCCCTTCCTATCCCCATGGCCACGCAGTCTGTCCCCTCTCTGGTGCCAGTACACTTCCCTCCCCACTCACCCCCGAGCTGTGTCAGAATTTTTAAGAAGAAGAATGAGTGTGGGGGTTCTCATCCAGAAATAACATTTTTAGAAGCAACCTTAATAACATAAACCTCAAATAAACCTATATTTGAAGCACGGGAAGAGGATATCTATCAGCAGCACTTCTTGTGTGGAAGGACTTGGCATTGAAGGAGCTCAGTTTTTATTCTGTCGCAAGTGAGCACTAAAAATATCCTGACTCCAAGTGAACTTCCGGAGATTTGTTCCCAGTGAGAAACGAAAATATATCATCCAAGAGCGAGACTTCCAGGCAGGAGGTCCTTCTGCCTGTTCTCTGCTTGTGTACATGGTGTTATCCTCCTCTCTGCCTCCTTCCTTGCATGGGCGTTATGGGAGGGCGACAGCCTCACTGCATTATTGCATTAGTAGTGAGAAAGGGAAATTGCATTTTGAAATGGTTGACACTGAAGTGAAGTGGCACCTTGCACTCCACACGGAGACGTTTTTGAGGAGAGAAGGAACTAAGGCAGGTTCCCAGAGTTAGCAGATCCTGGCCCATTTCATGTGACAGGCTTATTCATTCACCTTTTGCAACTAAGATCTAGGTCAAGAGACCGAGAGCATGAAATAGAGCAGGAATAACGCCTGGTGAGTGGGCTGCCAGCGCTCCTCGGAGGCACGCAGCTCTGCTACAGGGCTGCTGGAGGAACCCGATGTGGGGGCAAAAGCCCTTGAGATGTCATGTCACTGTTGAACCCCTGCAAACTGGGTAACCTTACACAGGCTTCCTTCTTCTTTTGTGGCCCTAAGGTCCTGTTCAGAAGCTGTATGTCAGTTAAAAAAAAAATTTACATTATGGGCAGCCCTTGAGAAACAGTTTTGCAGTTTTTGGAGTTTTTCCTCCACTCTTTCAATCATACTTACTTTCTTCTGTTTCATTCATGGTTCCTCTGTGCTGCAGCCAGTTCTCCTTTAGACTGAACTGGTGGAAAAAGGTTTTATTCTGTGAGGGAGTGGGAGAGGAGGAGAAAAAAAAAAAAAAAAAAGAAAAAAGACACAACAGTGATTCTCTGCATCCCTGCCCTTTACAAAACCGTAATTCACAGAACACAGCATTCAGCCCAAACGCCTGGCCAAAAAGGTTTCTGTATAGGAAATCCACCCACCCTTTCTTGGATCAGTAAACTGGGAGTTGCCTTACTAAATAATGGCCAAGGTGGGGATTTTGGAGGAAGCGGGACATACCTAGGCTAAGCTGCTGGCACGATTCAAGGTTCTCTGTAGCCATGTTCAGAGCCCATTTCTTATACACTTATTTTTATATACGTTTCCTATGTACCCATCAGCCTATTTAGCAGTTTCACTACAATCTCATGTTCTGCCTTCCACATTTCCGCAGTAACATTTTAAGCTTATTACACACTTCAGCTTCAGTCCAGTAAGTTTGATGAGCACAGCAATTTACCTCTGTGCAGTTTGTATGCCAACTTTCTCCGGCTGCATCTTCTCCCTCTGGTTAAATAGGCAGATTCATGTTCCTCTCTTTCTTTCTCTGTCCCTGTCACAACAAATCCCCCCTTTTCTCTGTCTACTTGACATCCGTAGTCAATGCCTGTGCCCAGCCTGGTTTGCCCAGGTTGCTATATCTCTCCAGCCCAGTGGGGACACACTCCCAGGCCTCCCCTGAATTCCGACATCTCAGAGCATCTTGTTAAGATGCTAATACTGTCACAGCCGCTGCAGGTTAGCTCACGCAGCTGATATCCAGGCAGCACTGGCAGGAAAAAAAATTCCTTAAGCAATGTTGCAGGTCTAACCTCACTGATGTACCCTGTCATGTTGTTGGCCACCAGTCACTTTCAGTTGAGAAGCCAAGAAAAGAGAGGGAAGTGGGCAGAGGGGAAGAAAGTGAGATGATAAGTTATCTAGCAACCAGCAACAATCAGGTTTGCGTTACCTTTCGGTGAGGTGAATACTCATCTACAGTGCTGAAACAAAAAGGAAAATCCAAATTATTCTTTCCAGCCAAAGATTAGGAAAAGGAAGTTTTAGCTATTACAAAGTTTACAACATCAGAAAGTTTTTAACATTAAATGGTCACCACAGAATGGCTGCAGAGCTCCTTCAGGGAAAGCTAAGGGCATCTGGCTCAGCCAGAAAACTTTCCTGTGACTTGCACAATCGGTGTAGTGAAAAGCCGTGCCGCCAGCCCGCGAGCTGCTGGAGAACACAGACACAGCTCGGGCCCCCAGGGTAAGCAGTCAGGGTCACCCTCAGGGACACAGCTCTTTCCACTTCCCCAACAGCCAAACCACGGAAACAAACTCACTCCATTTGTTGGAAAAATGTCCCAAGGAAGTCTCTTTTACAAATACCATAATTATTAGTAAAATAATAACCCTGAGAGAACTATTGCAAAAGAGATTTGCTTCTCAGTACTGCAGACTGCAGAGAGAGAATGAGAATGAATGTACCATCTGAAGTCACAGACTGAAGTTTCTGAGGGAAATTTTGCCAGCTTTTCCACAAAGTATCACTCTACTTGCAAGTCACCCCAACCAAAATGGATGGGAGTGGCTGTTGAACCACATACATCACCCAACAAACATCAGAGATGATTGAATAATCTACCTTTAAAGAAATTATTTGTAAAAATGAATATAGTACTTGCATCACTCATCCTTTCATCTTTACTGAATTACAGCAAGATGACAACAAAAATAAATTACACTCTAAATAAAAGGAGATTTAATCACAAATATAATCAATACTTACTGACGACGATGCATCCCAAGTATCTTCTGAAATTCTTTCAGTTCCTTCTCAAGAATGGGATATTCGTACACATCATCTAACACATTCCTGTATATTGTCTACAAAATAAAACAGTATCTGCAAACATCTGATAACTCAAACATAAATCTAAAGCATCACATCAGCAGTCTAAATCAATTCAGGCACTAGCCTACTGAAACAAATTTCATCATTACATTTATGCAAGACCCACAAGCAGAGAACGTTCCTGTTTAAATTTCCAGATTGGTCAATATTCAGCTTGCCTTTGGAGAAACACTCTTTGTATCATCACCAAGCGAGGGGGCAAAATGTTGATACTCATTAGTCTGCAAACAGGAAGATTTAAAACAGCACTTGTGGCTGTTACACGAAATCTGCGTTAGGTCAGAAGAACACATTCTGAAGCATGAGTACATACCACACCATCATCACTTACCCAAAATGGTAACAAACAGGTTCATTTGATTAAGACTTTTAAAATGGAGAATGTTCTCCTTCACTTTTCCTCATGATTGCATGCATTTTAAATTGAATTGATGTCTCTCACGAACAAATAACAACATACGCCCAGTTGTAAACCAATAAATAAATAAATAAACCCTACTTCTTATTTTTGGGAGAGGCGTTGTCTGAATATCAACAATCAGGAACCTCAGTTAAATGTAAAAGACACTACTTCAGATAAGAGGAAAATAAACAGAACCAGCTTTCATAATTGAAATTGTTGGAAATATTTTCTCTATACTTTTCAGAATCTGC